TTTCCACATCTCATTATTCAGTGGGATTGGATAGAACACTAGCATGGAGAAGCTACTCAAGGGTGGCACAAGTCCTTAACAAGTCCTTAAAAAGCCGTCAAGGGGGAGCTTGGAGGAAAATGTGAGAGAAGGTCAATTTCAGGGGCAGCATCTCTGTTTCTCACAAGCACCAACTCCTCTGTCTTGAGGGAGATCACTGGAACCTTGCAAATTGACATTCACTTAATTTGGGCCACATTTCACCTCCGATGGATTTAAACATTGCAGGGCAGTGTGTGGTCCACAAAGGCCAATATCAAGCATTTCTCTGAATGTCTTTAAGTTAGGAGCTCTACACAACATGTCTGCTGTAAGCAGTAGTGTACATAAGAGCAAATGTGGGTAAATGGAGTTTAACTATTTGTCCTTTGGGGAATATGGAATTTAGTTTAGGTTACCCACCTTTTTTTTTTTTTTTTTTGGCCAAATCACTGGTGAAAAAGTGCCCATAATACTTTTATTTTTTATTTCAGCGATGCATTTGATTTTGAGCTTGGTGTGGTTATCGTCAGAATTAGCCAAGGCTTTGATATATCTCAAGTCCTCCAGGTTCAAGGTAGGTAGTGATGGAATAATGGAATTGCACTTAACATCTATTCTTAAGGTATGCTTCTTTTTAAAACTACCATTTTCCTATGGGTTTCCAAACATATCAATTTGCGGAACCCTGCTATATGACTTGATAACCTATAGCTTAATTAATGTAAGATACCCACAAGCTGAGCATCAATAAAATATGTGCAACTGCTGGAGCATCCATTTTCTCCATGTTAGTGGGAAAAAAATTAAATCTCCACTGTTGGCTTGAAATCTAGTCATTCCAAAATACAGAGCTAAAGCAGTTTCAGATATCTGTCCAAAGAGGGAAGTTGTGCCAGCAAAAGTCTGGCATGGATTCCTTGTCAAATCCCCATGGTCTAAGGGATAAGACTGTGGCTCTCAGAATCATACTTTGGTTCCTGTCCTTCTCCTGAGGCAACACAGCTAGCTACTGTCTCTTACTTGTAAGCATGTAGTATGGCCAGTATCTTTTTCTGTGGCAGGGTTCTTCTAGTAGAGGTTTCCTGGAGCCACACAGTTACCATTACGTTCTCTTTTCATCCTTAGGATGTGTAAATTTGGAGGCATCTCCCAGCCTCACAAGCACACCTAGGGTATGTCTACACTACCACCCTAGTTCGAACTAGGGTGGTTAATGTAGGCAACCGGAGTTGCAAATGAAGCCTGGGATTTGAATTTCCCGGGCTTCATTTGCATATTGCCGGGCGCCGCTATTTTAAATGTCCGCTAGTTCGGACTCTGTGCCCGCGGCTACACGCGGCACGAACTAGGTAGTTCGGATAAGGCTTCCTATTCCAAACTACCGTTACTCCTCGTGGAACTACCGTTACTCCTCCTAGTTCATGCCGCGTGTAGTTGCACGGAGTCCGAACTAGCGGACATTTAAAAATGGCGGCGCCCGGCAATATGCAAATGAAGCTTGGGAAATTCAAATCCCGGGCTTCATTTGCAACTCCGGTTGCCTACATTAACCACCCTAGTTCGAACTAGGGTGGTAGTGTAGACATACCCCTAGAGAGGAAAATAACAAACAACTCTAGTTCGAACTAGGGTGGTAGTGTAGACATACCCCGAGAGTGGAAAATAACAAACAACCCACCACCCCCTTTCCAGAAGAACCCTCAGGGCTTCAAGAGAATTATTTTTCCTCTGAGAGTTAGTCCACTCAAGGGGAAACATCCAACTGAGCGATGGTGATTAATCCACTGTTCATAAAATGAAGTATTTTTTCTGTACATGAACTGGAATGGATCTAATACAAAAATGAGTATATGTATAATCATAAAACAGCATGATGGCTCTTTGCTGCCATCAGCTGGAAGTTTGCTTTTTTCATTTTTCCTTACAGTATCCTGTTGATACACATACCAAAATGTAGTCATTATACCTAAGGGAGACATGTAGAATAGTGAATTTTTTATGCAAGTAACCACAAACCACAACACTAAAGCCCATCTTCTTTAGTGGGCAAGCTAATTTTGTAATTCCTAATAGCAAATCCCCTTTTAGGTAATTAAGGACTAAAATTCCAGCACTTCCATTTAAAAAACTAGAGCAGTTGAGTACTCCACTTCAAAACACACTTTTAAATTCTAAATCAGCCTCTGTGGTCTTCCCTGTTGATATCCCTACTACTTCGATGTACTTGTCTGGGAAACAGTTAAAAATTGACTCCTATTTTAAAACTCTCTGGGAAAGCACATTCTCTAAGACTCCAGTGTAATAGCATTTTTTTTTTTGCCAAACTCTGAACATTTTCTACAGATTGGACCTCCCTAGTCCAGCACCCTTGGGACCTGACTAGCCCCAAATGAGGCAATTTGCTGGATCAAGGGATCAGGGTGGTTCCCTTCCACTGGCATCCTGATAGTGCCCCTCCCCTCTAGCTGGCTCCACTCCAGCCCCACTGCCACGGGGCTCCAGCCTGGCTGCATATGGGGCTTGGGCTCAGCAAGCTGCAACCAGCTCTCTAAGGACAGAGTTCCCCAGCCACCACGGCCCCACTTCTGCCGCACTCCACCAGGGCTCCCCTGGGACAGAGCTCTGTGTCTGCCCTGCTGCTGCTGCGCTGGGACAAGGCTCCATGAAGATGGGGCTTGCCAGTCCCACTGCTGCCTCGCCTGGCTGAGGCTCCCAGGGGATTGGGCTCTGTGGCTGCCCCGCTGTCCTGGACGGAGCTCTCTGGGGACAGGGCTCATCAGGTTGATCATAGGGCTCCCCTCTGTTGGACCCACTGGCTGGCTCGCATTCCCAGGCATCAGGGCTCTTTGGTCCAGCAACATCCTGATCCACAGATGTTGCTGGACCAGAGAGTCACAGATTTAAGAGGATCAACCAGTAATCTATCAGAATGTTTTATTACATTCACGATAGCATTATGTTTAAAAGCATAACTGAATCTTTAGTTTTGAGTAAGTGTGTGTCAGTGGTTATCATCACGTTCTAATCAACACAGGCACTATGCTATCATACTAGAGTCTAATTTAAAGGAAATGTTAGCAATTCAAATGCCAACAGCACTAATAAACTGTAGTGACTGCAGATGATTACATACACACACAGAAGTAATTTACTGGCCAAGGAAGATTACTTCTGCACCATGTCTCACTACAATGAAAACACCTTTCCTTATTAAAAAAAAAAGAGCTTATTACAGACCAAATGCTTATTTTATATTAACTAGTGCTTCACCATAATAAATTTAGTAGCAGCAGATGCTACTTTTCCTTGGAGAAAAATCTCATTTTCTCCAAAACAGAAGCTATTTTGTATACCTTATATTTATAGAATAGTTTAGCTGACTCTTCTGTCTCTGCAATGAGCATTTCAAAATGCATCAACATCAGATAAAGTACTGCAATATTTCCAGTATTTACTGTGGTCACATATTCAGTGAAAGTACACAAATATTTATGAGCATCCCAAAATAGGAGTCAGCCTGCTCTTGTGATTACTGAAGGGAACTGAGAATTAGGCAACTAGATTTTATTCACAATTTAGAATCTGATCCACAGCCTACTGAAGTCAGTGAGAAGACTCCATTAACTTCAGAGGGCTGTGCATTGGGACCTTACTTAGTAACCTCACCTCAGCCCTGCCTATTCTCTGTCTCAGGCACGTAGTAGTCTAATCTCCTGTGGGCTATAGTACTTTGTTCTAATTTTGGTTGTTGGGTTTAGGGCATGTCTACACTACACAGAATGTCTACACTACACAGATTATCTGCCGCGGTCGATCTTCTAGAGTTCGATTTAGCAGGTGTAATATAGACCCACTAGATGGAACTCAAAGAGTGCCCCCTTCGGTGCCAATGCTCTTGCTCCACACAAGGAGTAAGGGAAGCTGATGAGAGCAAATGCTTCCATCGGCCTCCTGCTGTGTGGATGGTGCGGAAACATGATGTAAGATATGTCGACTCCAGCTACATAATTTACATAGCTGGAGTTGAGTATCTTACTTTGACCTTCTGATGTAGTGTAGACCAGGCCCTAATGCGCAGGTGCTGGGTGATGTTGGTGTTAAGAGATATATAGAGGTTAGACTACAATCTGGTGTTCCCTTCTGGCCTAAAACTCAGTGCGACACATGGGACCACGGACAACAGGCTTTGCAGGGCTTGGGCAGAAGGGACGAGGCTACGGACTGTGAGCCCTCAGCTCTTTCGCCAGACAGTCCTCAGCACCACCTGGACCACACCATGCAGGGCTCCAATGGCAATTTAAAGGGCCCAGGGTTCCAGCCACTGTTGGTGCTGCAGTAGCAGTGGCAGTAGCGTGGAGCCCCAAGCCCTTTTAAATCACAGGGCCTTGGGGTAACTGCTCCTTTGCTTCCCACCATCAGCAGCCCTGAACAAATTATTTAATAAATCTGTGCCTGTGTTCCCCAAGCTAGAGAAAATCAACCTTTATAAAGTGCTTTGATATCCTTAAAAGAAAACAGACCCAACTAATACTGCTATTTCTAATCCAGTGGACTAGCGAACTAAAGATAGAAAGCAATGGATAGCAGTGCAATATCTCTAGAGAAGTATGGTGCACCCTGAAATAGAGATTTTGCAGATTGAGTTTTCAGTTATCTGCTAGGAAAACCATTTCACAAGAATGGATATTATCCCAATATTTACAGTGGATACTAAGAATCACAACAGATAATTATAACTCTCAATGTTATTGTCATCAATTGTTTAGTTTAAACTGTAAATTATTGTGTTACTAGTTTTCAGCAGTGTTGTTTTCAATTAACAGAAGAATTAGAGAAGTTAGAGCAGGAGAGGCTGGCACTAGAAGCTACCATTAAAGACAACGAATTTGAAGAAGAAAATCGTGGTATCCGTGGATTCTTTAGCAAAGCCAAAAAACTCAATATTACAAAGCATGTAACCAAAAAAGGTAAGATCTTAAATGATGTAAAAGAACACTTTATAACACTTTAACTGATACACAACTATACCTTCATTATAAAGGAAAGCTTTTAAGGTACAACAGCCTCCTTTGACTTTACCTAGGGGAACTGGAATTTAATTCAGACAACACATTGGGAAATTCACCAATTGAGTATTCTCCCGAACATAAATGTATTAGTTGGGATAGCAATATACCCCGTAATAAGGTATATAGTGACCTCTGCTGATACAAGGGTATGTCTACACTAGCTCGGTAGTTCGAGCTAGGCAGGCAAATGAGGGCAACCAGAGTTGCAAATGGAGCATGGGACTTAAATATCCTGGGCTTCATTTGCATCTTCCTGGGCGCCGCCATTTTTAAATCCCCCTTAGTCCGAACTCCGTGCCCGCGGCTACAAGCGGCACGGAATAGGTAGTTCAAATTAGGATCTCTAATTCGAACTACCAGTATTCCTCGTTTCCATATTTAAATCCCGGACTTCATTTGCAACTCCGGTTGCCCTCATTTGCCTACCTAGCTCGAACTACCGAGCTAGTGTAGACATACCCCAAGATGTTACCAGATATGACAGACTAATTTCTTAACTAATTTGTGTTCTTAACTAATTTCTTTAAAGTTCCACTGGACTCCTCCTAATTTCTTCTGTCATTTTTCAGATGAAATGCATGTCTTTGTTTTTTTACTTTTAATCTAACTGATAAAATTGAGTATGGTTACTATATGTCTGAACAGACCCAGATTAACAAGATCTTATTTGTAGTGATGTCATTTTTCTGAAGTTTTATAAAAGTGATGAAATGTGAACAAAATTCTGTGAACAATTAAATTCAAACTCTCTCCTGAACAAACTCAAATGTACACCTAAAACTCAATGTGTGGATGAAAAATGTAAAAAATGGTTCTGATTCTATGTTTTGAATATATTACCATATTAAATGAGCGAACCAATGTATGCATAAGCACTGAAAGCAAACGTGTAAGTGCTATGAAACTATTTCAATGGCCTGTGAGTAGTATAATGTGACAGGATCTAGAATATTAAAATGTATATGGTAGATAAACAAACCTATATGTGAAATATAGTAAATCTACAGCAAAGTGCTTACTGAATTTAAATTCTCATTTCACAATTGTTAGGGTATGAGAATGACCCATCCAAAACCATTTTTGCATTTATAAAAATATATTTTGAATTTTCTATGACAGAGAATATGGCCTTTCTGTACACCCAACTCCCAGAGATATCAAGAAGATGACATAGACTATTAGCACAAAATGTAATCAATTCTTTACATGGCAGTGCTCAGTTAATTTTACATGTTAGAATAGAATCTCCTTTCATAACAAATGCTACAAAATATGGTGTGTTCCATCTTCTCTTTTCTCTTCAGTTCAAAAAGAAAAAAGAACTGGTTGGGAATTCGGCATGGGAAATATCATTTTGGCAGAATCTGCCCTTTTAAGAAAATGGAAATATTCAGCAGG